GGCGGGGGGCGGGGGGGGTGCGGGGGCCGCGGTTGGGGCGGCGGCCGCCTTTGACTGCGCGAGGTACTCCTGCAACTGCCGGCCCAGGTCCGCCATGGCGGGGGCCGGCGGAACCGCTCGCCCGCCGCTAGACCGCGCCGCCGGCCCGCCCCGCCGCCATCTTGCGGAGGAGCTACATCCGGGTCACCGGCCCGCTCCGGAGCCCGCCCTCACAGGGGGCGGCGCGCGTGCGCCGGCGGCCGTGAGGGGGCGAGGGAGGGCGGCCCGTCCCGACCCCATGGCCGCCCGGTCCCGACCCCTGGCCGCCCTCCCTCCCCTCCCATTGCCGTCTGAATCTGAATATTCGCCTTAAAGGAAAGGCAGAGGCGTCTGAGGAAAGGAGCGGGGGATGCTCGTCGGGGCAGGGGCGGCCATGTCGCGGCTGGAGGGAGAGCTGCTCGTCAGGCGGCTGGAAGGGCCGGGCAGCTGCCAGCAGTAACGGGTTAGCGGTCTCGGCAGCTGGAAAGGAGAATGGTGTCACGTTCAAAATGTACATTGGTAAGAGAAGGATGGTGCTGGAGATGGGTACAGCTCACAGGTAGCCCCAGGGGAGGTTGCAGGGCGAGAGGAAGGGTTGCCCAAGGTGACAGGCCGGTGACTGAAGGCCGAGCCTTGCCTGGCACCATCCTCCTCCCGACACCATCGGCATCACCCAGAGTCTCCTCCTCGAGTGTTCAGTCCAAAGGATTGAAGCCTTCAACCACAGCTCTCAATCCCGGTGATTGCAGCTCTTCTTTCTGAAGGAGAGCCACCAGAGTAGAGACTTCACAGGTTGGCACCCAGAAACTACTACAACAGGAGAGACTAGAGATGCAGGGAGTGACTAAGAGTCTGTCAGCCCAGCCAAATCTGTTAAATTGCTGGCTGTTTATTAATAAGATTACCTATTGCCCTTTACTCAGCCAACCATTAAACCAAAATAAAACTACTGAACTCAATTCTTCACCCTGATTTAAATAATAAAAATTCCAAGTGCTAAGTTAACCTGTGCGATTCTAAATGTTTACGGCAGGGCTGAAAATTGAGATGGTTGGACACCAAGAGACCAGAGTTCCCATCGTCAGTCCCAAGCCTGCAGCAATACCCCTAGCTATGGTGAGTCACATCATATACCAGGCCACCTTAAAGCTTGAAACCGCTTTTCGGCAGAAGATCCCTGTCCTATTTGGTGGATCGCTTTAGCATTGATACACGCCAGAGAACATACAGCTCTTTAAGTGCTCAGGGCAAACTTTGATCATTGGCAAGAAGGGATTAGATAGTGAAAACGCCACGCTTGGAGGGGTCCTTGTTAGGGTGTGCGATCCCCCTTCCTTTTGGCAGCAAAGGATGCCATTTAACCGCTTTCAGGAAGAAAAGTCACGCTGCCAGGCGGGTTTTCCCCTCACGTGGGGCTGTGCCGCGAGTGTCACCGCCTGTCGCGGCGGGCAGGAAGCACGGCTTCTTTGTTCACAGGATAAAACGTTACATCAACGATGTGTATGTCAGAGATATAAACCGCTACCTGGCGTGCAGTTGTGATAAAACCTTCCCCTCAGCTTTTCCCCTTTCTCCCCCCGCCCCAGGCCCATGCTCGAAGCGTTACAACCCGCTGGGGCCAAGCGGCTCCCGGGCCGGAGCCGTGCCCCGGGGCCGTCGGCTCTCTGTTCCCCGTCCAGGAGGCGGCCCCGATCCGTCGCTTCGTTACTCAATATTTTTTTTCCCTTTATAGGAAAAATATGCGCGGGGCCCGGGGGGGGGCTGCCCTGAGTCACCGGGGGCTGCGGCTCCCGCCCACGCCCCCGGGGGCCCGGGCCGGGCTGGGGCGGGGTTTCTGCTGCCCGCCGGGGTTGGAGCCGGAGCCGCTGCTCCCAGCCGCCCGTCCCGACCGGCAGCCCCTCCGCCACAGCCCGGCGACGGCCGGGGGCGCGCCGCCATGACGGGCAGGTAAGGCCGGGGAGGGAGGGCAGCGCAGGTCGGTCCCGCGCCCTGGCCACGGTGGGCTCTCCCCGCCTTCACCGCCCCCGCGGCGGGCGGTGGAGGGTCGGGAACGGCCCCCTCTTTGCCCTGGTGGTGTGCCCGGTAGGAAGGCGGTCGGGGAAGAGGAGGTTTTTGCTTCTGCGGGGTTCAGGCGGAGCGGGGCAGGCTGCGGCCGGGGGAGGGATTGGGAAGGTTGACCTCGTGGAAGAGCAGAGCAAGGGCTGCCCCGCTGTGCCTTAACCCTCCCCCCCGCCACAGCGACGCGGCCAAGGGCGGTGGGAAGAGGAGAAACAGAGCTGGGAAGGAGCAGTTGTGTCCCTGGGCTCGGCAGGCAGGCTCCCTCCAGCCGGGTGGTGCGGCTCAGGCGCTGACAGCCTGCTCCCCCGCACCGCAGCCCCACGCTCCGGGGCCCTTCTGGCTCGTCTACACGCTGCCCTTCTGCCCGCACACTCGGCCTCCCTCTTCTTAGTAACTCCCCTTGGAGTTACGGTGTTCCCAGAGCTGTTTAAATCTGGAGCTTCATTCTCTCCCCACGCTGTCTGACGCTGGAGAACTCTGTAAAGTCACCTAATTGACAGATGTAAATGAGAAAAGCACTGGGGGAAGCGTTTACTGGCATCTTAGTTTTACACAAGTGCTGTAGTGTCTCCGATCGCTTCGTTCTCCCATCTGTAAAATAGAACCCAAACCTTGTAAAGCAGTTTGTGAAAATAAGCTTGCTTTTGTAAAACATCTTGAACTTGAAAAGTAATATTGAAATTAGCAGGGTGCCTTTTTTTTAGGATAGTCATCCTCCTGAATCCTACTATCAGTACTGTAATCCTGAAGCATTGCTCTTCTTGACTAGGAATACTGAAATGGATCTGGAATAGCCAGTGTATAAGTATTCATTTTTCTTTTGTGTAAAGTCTTGATACTTGTATTATGCAGCTTCTTATGATTATTCAGAGTAGATCATGTTTGGTGGGTTGTTGGGTATGAGAACGTGCTGAATAATTGTTGTAGCTTCCTGTAGGATTTGGGTGAGTGTTATTTTTGATCTCCATAATGACCAATTGATGTTGATGGGTGGCTGTATGCACTCAAAATGCTTCTGGTTTTTGCCTCCCGTGTTTACATTACTTTGATTTTTCTGTCGTAATGGGCCCTTTTTTGTTCTTCTGACATGTGAAAGTGGGTGAGTATTTACAAGTTTACATTCATTTTCTTACAACTAGAGGAAGACTCGAGAGTCTTAAATGTTCACAGGTCATGAGTACCCATGCAGCTCCTAAATGGGGACAGGATGGGGAGGACCTGGGAAGAATTGTGGCTGTATGAACCCAGCTATTTTTATTTTTATAGAACTGTGGTGTAGTACTGTGTAGAATGAGATGTTTGCCTCAGGTGAAACCACTCAGCTGCAGGGGACAGTGGGAAATGCCTGTGGATGGTAATCCTTCTTGTCTTCTCTCCATGCTTCCTCAGAAACCTGCCTGTTAAGGTCCAATGCTGTATTCAGTGAGGAGCTCTGATGTGAAGCACGAGGCTTGGTGAAGAGTTTCAGGGTAGTTGAGACACTGCAAAGCATGCAGTTCTTCAAAGTAACACAGGATTTCTGTCTCCTTTTCCTCAGATGTACTTCAAAGGGTTGTTAAAATGAGCAGGCCTTTAGTTTAGCTTTTGAAAAGTGAATGCAAGTGGTTTTTTACTGTTTTTAGAAATGTTTGTCCTGGAAAGTGTGTCAGCTATGAAGATTTCTAGATTCCTGTCTGCTGTCATTCCTGTGACAGAATGACTAACTGTTCTTTTGGAGAAGTTTATCATAGCTGTAATTCAGCTGACTTTTTCTTTGGTAATAGTGTAATCCATTTAGGGTAGTAGTTCCCCAGCAAACCAGAAGCTGTACTTTTGAGTGTCTGTGAAGCATTGCGCTGCTCAGCCCCTTGCATGACTAATGCCACTTGACAAGCACTGTGATTAGTGGTGTTTTGAGGCTTGGGCAGATCCCTAAGTCATTGGAAAGAATTCAGCATCAAGAATGTACTTCCTTAGATCCACCTACAGGTCACTCTATCAAACTGTGCGTGGCCAGATGTTGTTCCATGTTTCTTATGTTGTAGTTCTTAAAATCTGTTGACATTATGTAACCAGATGTTCTCCAGCTTTTGAGATTTGGGGTCTTCAGGGTTCTGGAAGGAGATGAACTGTCTCACAGCTGGAGCATCCCCACAATCATAGAATGGTTTGGGTTGGAAGGGGACCTTAAAGATCATCTAGTTCCAACCCCCTGCCCTGGGCAGGGCAATATCAATCAATGGGAACCTTCCAGAGCCAGGAACAGACATCATTGTGCCTCTGGTCTTGAAACTGTTGACACGGGGAAGGGAAGGATTTTGTTGCGTTACAGCATTTTAGAGCGAGGGAGACTGGAAAACATAAAATGCTGACACACTATTCTTTTTCACTTCACCTTTCCTGTCAAATAGAAGCACAGAAGGGCTCAGTTGTACGTACTATGATTACTGATGCGTTATTAACAATTAAGATAGACGAAAAATAACCCCATTTTTGTTTTTAAGTGTTCTGTCCCATTTAGCTGCAGAGGGTGTCACTGCAGCTTAATAATAGTAATAGCTTAAATAGCTGCAGTAACTTGATTTACTGATTTTTAGCATTAGGGAAAACATAATTCCAGAAAACACAAAGAAAGATGTGCACTTTTATTTATTCAGAGTAGAAAATCATTAAAAACAGGTGACTGTTCAGCAAATTAAATTCAAATATTGCAGGTCACGAGTCACATTGTTACAATATCAGGATTGTATTGTATTAGAGAAAATTGCTAAGTAGATCATTGGAATTTGCAAATAGTAATTCTGACTGCCACGTTTTGGCTGAGCTATTTTATTTCTCTGTGTCTTGACTGAAGTGACTGTTATAGTCCCTAATTTCAAGAGCAGTCTGTGGTTTAAGGGGATGCTGTTAACTTAAAAAAATATATAAAAATCACCCTTTCTTTGAATATATCCGTTCCAACTAAGATCCAAAGATAATAGGACATAAAGAAATGAAAGAAATATGTGTATTATAGTTTAAGTTACATGTTGTTTAACTGC